GGATAGCATGAATACTACGTCCATTGTTTCAAAATGTCAAGCTGCAGAACTCGCATTTCGATAGAGGCGAAAGGAGATCCCCATGGTAGTTGGCCTCATAATCCTATGGTGGCATAATCCTATGGTGGCATCGGTCACTAAATCTCTACTGGCTCCCGTGTAACGTCCAATGCTCACCGCCACGGTCCTTTGTTTCCGGCCTTGAAGCTCTGTCATGACGTCGACGTTGCTAGGAAGCCACAGGCAATAAACTTAAGCTTCTTTTTCCTTTTTCTTAGTCAGCCTTCAGTAACCGAACAACAGGGGGTTAACGAAAAAAAGAGGGAGGTGCGAATGTTCGTGTTTCGGAATATTTTTCGAACAGTCTCTGGTATTTGATCGAATTCGCTGCAAAATATTACTAATAAAAGTATTCAAACTGCCGGCAAGCACATTGAGTTTAAAACAACGGCCTGTAAATATAACGATAATAAATTAGTGTGCGCTGTACTTGTGGTTGCGTTTCGGGGTGCCGACGTTCGAAGCTGCATCCACCGGTGCTCCGAGTGGTCGTTGCGCGACCAACCGTTGTTCACCGAAAACTCGAAAAAAAAATTACCAGCGCTGCTTCAAATGATGCCTCCTTTCTCGTAACGCATTCGCACGTGGCGACCGCTTTTACAGCGAAGATTTAAAATGTGAAGCATTTTTTAGCGAACTTCGGCGACTTTGAGCGGGAATGGGAGGGTAAGATGGTTTAGCATGGGAGGGTAAGATGGTTTAACGAATAAGATCCACTGGTCAAGACGTGAATAATGTCACAATCCCGTCATGTACGTTTTCATACGCTTCCTACCAAACAGTGGCACATACCTACGGGCGGGTATGTACCGCTCGTATGCGGGTATATGCCACAGGTGATTGACACTTACTATCTACCGAAAAGTGACGAGAACACACGCGGGCAATTTTAACGCGTTTAGGAATAACCGACATCTGTAGGGTCAAGCCGACGAATGCAAGGAATAAACGTCAGGGTCCCAGCTGGAATCAAATCCAAGCAAGCATTCTGCGTGGCAATAAAGCATTTTACCACAGAGCTACGTCAGGTCTCGGAACTACTTTTCAAACAGAGGCAAATCTCTGTGAAACGTCAATAGTAGTTGCAGCCCTGCCTACCCAATTTTATAAACATTACATATGTACTCCTTTGATCCAGCCGTCACGTCAGGTTAGCGTGAATTGTGGTTAGGTGCCATGTGCTGAAGTTGATTTATGTAGCTGTGTCCAGGAGCAGCATCTTTGTCAGCATCAGCGCATCATATGTCATTGTTCACCATTAGCAGCCGTCACAGTACACTGTTACGACCTGGCTTGCACTGACTTCACTGGTTATATCAGCTTCTGGTGGTGGTAATACGCATGTTCTAGCTCGCATCGTTGCGCAAGTGCAAACAGCTGGTTATATAGGCATTTGCAACACTTCAGCACATGTCTGTGTGTGCAACATTTGTACATACATTTAGCGTGATATCATGACGTGTCGCTCAATAAATAATTCTAACACGGTCCCCATCCCTCCGCATGCTTCACAACCAGGTTTGGAAAGCAATCAATCAGGCCCTGAACCGCAATGCTGTTC